TCCTTAAAAATCCCCTAAAAAACCCCGCTAAAATTCCCTAGGCCAGACCCGCTTGTTGGAAAAGCCATGTCTTTAGGGCGCGGCGGAAGGAGGGGAGATCCGGGATCACCCGGATCTCTGGGGGTAGTTCGTTCCAGAGGGTGGGAGCTCCCACCGAGAAGGCCCTCCCCCTGGGGGCCGCCAGCCGGCACTGTCTGGCTGACGGCACCCTGAGGAGACCCACTCTATGGGAGCGTACCGGCCGATGGGAGGCAACCTGCGGCAGAAGGCGGTCTCGGAGATATCCATGGCTATGGATATTTCATGGCTAAGGCGGGACTAGAACTCACCATCTCCTGGTGATTGGCCCAAAGTCACCCAGCTAGCTTTCATGGCTAAGGCGGGACTAGAACTCACTATCTCTTGGTCTCTAGTCTGGTGCCTTCACCCCTAGACCAAACCGCTCCGTGGGGTTGATCCTTACCCAGTGATTTGAACACCGTGGTTTCCTCCCGCAGGGTTGGTTTGCTTCCCAAGATCACCTCGCCGAGTTCTGCAAAAACGCTTGCCTGAGAAACAAATATCGCTCGGTCACTGAAGGCGCCCTCCAAACTGCCAGCAGTCTTAAGTCACTGAAGCAGCTTCAGACAAACCCCCTGGCGTGGGGTAGGTACCCTTTGAAGACCCCCCCCCGCCCCCAGTAAAATGCTAAAAAAAAGAAAGACAAGGAAAATAGGGGGGGGACGGATTCAACTTCCTTACCCCCGATAAAATAACGTCTCCTGATTCGCGCAGGGCTGCCTCTTTCGAATCGACATACAATACCGAATTCCTCATTATATCGTCATCTAGTTCTCTCCAATCAGGCCGGCTGGCTCCGACAGCTAAAACACAAAATGGCAGGTGGTACATAAGCCTAACTGCTGTTTTTGTAGTTCAGCTGCTTTCACAGATAGTTCTCGTTTAGTGACTGTTCAAAGTTACGACGACCTTGAAAAAAGAGCCTTATGACCCTTTTTTTCATAGGACCCTTGCAGCATCCCCGTGGTCACATGATCAAAATTCAGACGCTTGGCAACTGGCATGTACTTATGACGGTTTCAGTGTTATTGGTTTTCTAGTTTTACATTTAAGTATTGGAAAAGCAGTGGCGGCTGAGTCGGTCAATAATTCCATAACGTACAAATATCTTTAGTACAGACCTCAAACTATTACATTAAATGTTTCCCCTCTTTTCCCCTTAGTATTTACTGTCTCATCTTTACATTAGTACAATTCTTGTTAATATCAATTAAATAAAAAATAACTTTCTTGCATTTATCCATAATTTTTTAGTTTACACATATCCTAGTTGTTTTAACATTCAGTCTTTTTAGACAATCAACATCCTGATTAATTTTTCCCAGTTTTTGGTTTCCCGTTAATATTTATATTTCCCATTTAATATTTATAATTTCCAAATTTTAAATTACCCCAGTTCCCTTTATCACAATTCATCACAAGATCTAATGTTCAGAATACACGTCTTATCTATACACGTCTTATCTTACATCAATCTTACATCAGAATACACGTCTTATCTATACACGTCTTATTTTACATCAACTAATTAGTAAGTGGAAGAAGTGGAAGACTCTCTTTAAGTCCTTTTTGTGCAGAGAGACAGATTAGGCGAAGAAGTCCAACACTTTCTTTTTTTTTCTGCATTGCAGGATTTAAGTTCTATATTAACTCACCAAATAGCTGGAGTTTACTCAACCCATTAACTTCACCAAAGTTCAGTTAGCACATGGTCCAAGACCCGCTGCTATTTTTGTAGTTCAGCTGGTTACTGAACTACAAGTACAGAAAACAAGTACAGAAGTGGCAGAACATCAGAGGTCATCCAGCTCAGCCCCAGCTAATGCATAAAATCTTTAGGAACAACATCCTTGAACGGTAGGTCATCCTACCGTTAATGGTGGCTACATCATTGCTTTCCAAGCTCTCTTCTTGTGTTAATAGGAATTATCATCTAATAAATTGTTCAAATCCCTTCCACTTTTATCCTTTGGCAATCCGAACCCATAGCTCAAGGAAAACATACCACACACACTAGCTCAGTAGGAAAACAAGCCTGAATTGTAACCTTATTGCAGAAAAAAAATATCAAATCCCACGCATCCCTTACCATTGACGTGGGCTCTGGGTTTTACCCACTCTCCATGCAAGATGGGCTGAGTTGCCATTGTGACTGTGACAATCACATCGGCCCCGCGGACAGCCTCCTGGACCGAGGAACACACCTGGACCGGTCCATTCACCATCTGAGCAAATTTTTCCGCGTTCTGCTTGGTGCGGTTCCAGATTCTAACCTTCATGGGAAATAGAATAGAATCTTTATTGTCGTCGTGTATCTTACAGTGAAATTAAGCGCCGTCCACAGTGCACACTACACACAAGTAAAAACCAGAAATAAAAAACATACATTATATATACACATCCTTCACATTCTATTCATCACTGCGCTGCCCCTAATAGTGCACTTCAACGTTGCACTAGACCAGGGTTCTTCAAACTTGGCCCTTTTATGACAGGTGCCTGGCTGAGGAATTCTGGGAGTTGAAGTCCACAAGTCATCAAAGGGCCAAGTTTGAAGACCCCTGCACTATATAGTAGTGTTTAATATGGTTACAGCTCTGGGATAAAAACTATTTTTCAGCCTATTTGTCTTTGTTTTTATTATCCTGG